GACATCACCAAACTTGTGGCACCGGAGGTAAGGCCACTTAAGCGTGAAGGGATTGACAACTCTTGCAAAGAAGGAAGCCATTTCCATAGGCAAAGGTGTTGCCCTAGATCCATGCAATTACTGTCTATTTGGGAAACAACACAGAGTTTCCTTCAGTTCTACCAGGAAGAACCATTCAGAGTTACTCAGTCTTGTCCACTCTGATGTATGTGGACCCATTGAAGAGGAGTCACTTGGAGGAAGCAGATATTTTGTGACATTCATTGATGATGCGTCACGAAAGGTATGGGCTTACTGTCTAAAGAGTAAGGATCAATTGTGTGATCGTTGAAACTTTTTCATGTCACGATAGAAAGAGAAACAAGGAAGAAGTTAAGGTGTCTACGTTCAGACAATGGAGGAGAGTACATTTCCCGGGAATTCTTAGCATATTGTGTCGCATATGGAATCAGACATGAGAAGACGGTTCCACGAACTCCACAACACAATGGTGTAGTAGAAAGAATGAACCGAACCATTGTGGAGAAAGTTTGTTGCATGTTGAGTATGGGTAAACTACCCAAGCGATTCTGGGGTGAAGCAGTGCTGACAGCTTGTTATCTTATAAACAGATCACCTTCTGTTCCTTTAAACTTTGAAGTGCCAGAGAAGAAATGGTCAGGAAGAGATGTTCCTTACTCTCACTTGAAAGTGTTCGGGTGCAAGGCATTTGCACATGTGTTCGAGGAGTTGAGACAGAAGCTTGATCTCAAATCAAACTCATGCATCTTCATCGGCCATGGAGATGAAGAATTCGGATACCGGTTGTGGGATCCCGAAGTTAAGAAAGTTGTACGAAGCAGAGATGTTGTATTTTATGAAAATGAGTTTCATGAGTGTGCCCCAATCATCAGCACACAACATACTCCAGAAGACGAAGTGCATGTATCATCAAACATTCCTCTCAGCCACGAGGAGATGCATGATACTACTGAGCAACAGAGTGATGGTTCAGTGGGTAATGATGATGATCACAATGATGGTATTCCTCAGCAGGGGGAGCCTTCATCTGAAGACGAAGTTGAAGGTACTCATGTTCGACGTTCTATGCGAGGCATAGTTCCACAGAGAAAATACTCCACGTCCGAATGGATACTTGTTGCCAGCGAGGGGGAACCAGCGAGCATCGCAGGAACGAGAAAAATAAAGAAAAGGGTGGAGGGGGGATTTGTAAGGATCTTCCACCTTCTTTCTTGGAAGTTGCCAAGAGACACCTTAACATGGAAGCACCTTCTTGGAAAGAGCTCTCCAACAAAATGATGTGAGAGAAGATATGGAGAAGCTTGGATGCAACTTCCTCTTGTCTCCAAACTAGTCCTATAAATAGAGTGCTCCATGTTGTTCATTTGCATCAGTTTAGAAAGTGAGAAAAGTGTGTGAAGAGTGAAATACACTTAGTGTAGAAGTGTATTAGTGAGGATTGGTTTTTTGTAATAGTTGAGTGTGAGAGTTTTCTCCTCCTATTGTAATTCTGTTCTTGATATTGAATAGAAGAATTTTCCAATCCCAACACCACGAGGTCCGTACCCTTTTATATCTTTAATCTCTAATTAATATAAAACTAATAAAAAATACTACGTATTAAAGAAGCATAACACTTCAAAGTTAGCGTACACCATTAAAACATTAAGATATTATAAAGCAAATAATTACATATAAAAATCATTCAAAAGTTCTACTGATGTACCCTCCTAGGCTTCATTTTTTGGAAATATTCTATAATAGAATCATCATTAATAGTACCAAAAACATCTCTCTCAACATATGTAACTAAGCGAATCATTTGAATTAACACCTGAACTACTCCCAGTACTCTTAGTTTCTTTAAATTTGGGTACAACATCAAAATATCTTTTCATCCTAAATCGTATTGATGGATAGTCTACCCGGGGGTATATATCCGAAGGGTTATTACGGGGAATAACTTAGAGAGAAGTCAGAGCAAGTAAGTAAAAGTAGAGAGAGAGTGTATTCAGTATGAATGCCGTTTTCAGCGTGGTTACAAATGGGGAAATGGGGTGCTATTTATAGTAGCAATAAATGCCGGGCAGGGACACGTGTCAAGCGCTCATTGGCCGAGGGGTCACCTCAACTGGTTGGCGCTGGCAGCCGCATTTAATGCGGCTGTTGGATGGGACGTCTGTGCGGGGTACGGTGATCTGTACGCATGTGAGGCGGATATCTTGTCGAGTGAGATGCCTTCGGCTATAGAGCAGTAGCCGAGGGCTCTTCCACCCGATGGCACCCTGGTGCCGAGGGCTCCCAGTGCCGAGGGCTACTGTTTTCGCCGTTTTCTCCCAGTTTCTTAATTTGCTTGAGAAACCCGTTCTGCGAGAGTTTAGAGCCTTCGGCCAGGGGGCCGAAGACACCCCTGGCGCGTAGTGTGGGCTGCTTGGTACTCTGGGCGCTGTGATTTGGGCCTGTTGGACCTTCTGGGCCTGTTGGGCCTCTAAAGGAGTAGTAGGAGTCTGTGGGCCGGGTGTTCCCGGGCCATATACTCCATTAGGAGTCCCTCACTCCTTTTGCCGAAAGGTACTTGAGGGAAAAGGAGTAATTTGTGTTTTCCCTTTGATGTTGTCCCGTCGTGATCTCTGAAGTTGGTGAGGAGTTGTTGCTTTTATGTCCCTGCCGAAGGCAGTCCCTCAGTTACCCACATGTCGGGACTTGAGGGCTTGCCTTGTCGTTTGTCGGAATTTCACTAATTTTGTAATTTAATGATTTTCCCGAGGGGGTCCTCCAGTCCCCCACTCCTTGAGGCACTTGTAAAGTGGTGAAAAGGAGTAGAGTAGTTGCGTTGCTGTTGTGGGCCGAAGGCTGACGCTTTTCGTTTCATTTTGGGGGGATGCCTCGTTAAAAACCTCATTAGGAAAAACCATGGGGGAAAAAATCCTAATGAGGGAAAAAGAGTGCACCGAATTCCCCCAATGATGAATCGAAAATGTGAAACCTTGGTCAGAAATGGAGAACAACGGTAATGCCGAAGGCTCTTCCTTGTTCTGAGGGCTCATGTGCTGATTAGCCGAAGGCGTGCTGTTGATGTCCTGGGGGCGCCGAAGGGGAGCCCCTCAATCCGGGGATCGAGGGCCTTCCAGATGAGGGTAGCAGTGGAGTTGTTACCGGGGGGTCCACTGGTTGTTGATTAGTTCGTGATGAAGATACCCGAGGCCTCCCATTACCTGTGTGCCATGGGTCACCCGTCAATGAGGCAACTCCCCGGGGGCTACCCGGTTTTGCAGTGCTGAGGGGGAATCCCCGAGGGGTGCCCTGATATGAAGCCTTGAGTTTCTGAAGGGGTGATCCCGAAGGCATCTGCTATGGGCTGTGTGGGGCACATCCCGGGGGCGTCTCTGGGTAAGTGTACCCGGAGGCTCTCCTTGATGTAGCGGAGTGCAGTAGAAAACCCGGGGGCTTCCAGAATATAGCCGTTGGAAATATAGCCGTTGGAATACGTAACGTCAGGATATAGCCGTTGGGGGGGGGACACGTGGCGCGTGATGGCTGGCTGTCCGTGGGCGGCATCACTGGTTGGGTGAGGACGCGGTGTGTAATGATGGCGGTCCATCCGGAGGCCCGGAATCCAGGCCCAAGCCCGGATTCCATCGCCTATAAATACCCCAAGGCCAGGGCCATTCCCCGTTGTGCGAACTCAGTGTAGCGAAGCTCTGGCAAAAATTCTAGAGAGAGAAACTCCAGCCTTCGGTAACAACTCAGCTTTCAAGGTCAGTTCCCCCCCGCCTTTCTCCTTCTAGTCTAGCTGTGCCTTGTGCCCCTAGGTTAGGAGATAGAATTTCCTAGGAAACCTTAGTTTTCCCGAGCCTTCGAATTAGTGAGCAGATGTCATCACAGAGCGACTCCCAGGATATCTCGGGGGAGCCTTCGGTAGAGATGGAGACATGCTCAGGTATGGAGTCTTCGAGCGTGGAGTCCTCGGCAGGTGGTGATGCCGCAGTGGCCATGGAAGTGGAGAAGGACCTCCAGGCCAAAGTCGAAGCCGAGGGCTTCGAGCAAGAAAACGAGGATGAAGAGCTTGCCCTCGCCGTGCAAACCGCCGAGCAGGAAGAGGAGAGGGAGAGGCTGAAGGTGACGGTTGCCATTCCTCCCCCCGGGTGCCGGGGAAGCCAGCTCCTCCCGGCTATTGGACCCGACGCCCATAAGTGTGGCTCCCGGGAAGAAACACAAGACGAAGGCGGCCCCGAGGAAGAAGCAAGCGACAGTGGATGCCGGGTGGCCGGTGGGCATACCCGAGGGCCATTCGTTCTTGAATACTGCCGCTCTAGAGCTGAAGACGAAGGCGTCCCCGGCAGAATACCAGTCCACCCAGATGCTGGTTGGACCTTCGGTGCGCGTGGTGGAACCCAAGGCGGATGATTTGCTGCGATACGCGCCCGAGGGGTGCTTTGCTGCTCACACCCTCTCGGTGGAGATGGGGCTTCGGTTCCCGCTCCATCCTTTTCTCTTGGAGTATCTGAGATTTGTGGGGTTTGCCCCTTGCCAGCTAACGCCCAACAGCCACTCCTATGTGGCCGGCTTCCTCTCCTTGTGTCAGAGCCGGGGGGTCGAGCCCACACTCGATCAATTCTTCATGTCCTTCAACCTTTGCCGGGGGGACATTCAAATGCTGAGGGCTTTGCCAACCTTCAGCAGGTACCGGAGTTCCGGCTTTTTGATGATGTGCCCTCGTCTCACAAGGGGTGGAAAGAGAGGTTCTGCTATATCTGCCTCGAGGAGAACCCCTTCCCGGCCCAGCTCCGTAATAGCTTCCGGCGCCATCCGAAGGTGGGGAGCGCAGCTTTGGAGAAGAATGGCAAAGTGCTTGCCAAGAAGCCGGAGGGGTCTGACAAGCATGTCAAGATCAGAGAAGTCACTCTTCCGGAGGATTTGCTTAGCCTGGGCTTCCGGCAGTTCAGGCCGAGGGGCTCTTCGGATGAGAGATACCCTCCCCTCGATAGGGTCTTCGAAGGCGCCGGAGGTGATCACCGAATTGTTCACTGATGCGTTGATAGTTCTCTCTTATTCCGCTTTTTTTTTATGACGTAGTAACTGGTAGCCTTCGATCTAACCCTCCTGTTTTTTTTGTTGCTTGCAGGTAACAATATGGATGTTGGTTCCCTCTTCGCTTTGAAAAACGCGAAAGGGAAGAAGAAGGCCTCGGCGGGCGCTTCTGCCAGGGAGGGGCCCTCTCAAACTGCTGGCGCTGCTGCTGGCGCCGGAGGGTCCAAGGGTGCTGGGCCCGTTAAAAAGAAGATTGCTGGAAAGGGGACCGAGCCCCCGGCCAAGAAGCCGAAGACCACCGCCCCTACCAAACAACCGATCACCGACGTGGTGGTGATTGTGGACGAAGGGCACGCTTCTGCCTCCACCCCCCAGGAACAAATCAATCAGGAGTTCTTTGGGCGGGAGAGGTTGGAGGCGTTAGTACCGAAGGGGGCCTCCGTGTTGGAGGGCAGCTTGAACCCTTCGGCTCTGATGAGCCAGATGCTGCTGTCGGCCGACCGACTGGCCCTTGCCCGGCTGGACGAGGGATCCCTCGAGGCGAAGGTCCTCCTGAATGCTGCCTCCGTAAGTCACCTTCCCTTCTTTTCTCATTGTTATGTTTTCCTTCTGTATTATGTTCATTATGCCTTATTCTTGCCTTCGTGAATTGCAGACTTTTATGGGCCTCTGCGAGCACCTCCGAAGGGTGGATCAAATGAGGGAGGCCAAGGGTGCCGCCGATGGGGAGGCCGTCCTCCTCAGGAAGAAGCTTGCTGAAGCCGAGGACTCTCTCCGTCTGGCCACCGACGGCATGGAGCAGAGGGTGCAGGCTGCAAGGGCCGAAGGGGTCAATGAGGGGCTAGCCAGGGCCGGGGAGGCCGCCGCCGAGGCCGCCCGTATTACTGCCGATGAAGCCCGCGCGGCTCAAGAAGAGGCCGTCTCCAAGGCCCGAGAGGATGCGGTGATCAGCTTCACGTCCGAAGGGTGGAAGGCCGAAGACCGGAGGGAGTGGCTCGCTTCGGTGGTGGGGGCTTCAGTAGACGAGTGGGTCGGGGGCCCCGGAAAGATGTGGCTTGCTGAGAGGGGCGACTCGTACTACTAAGGCGGGGAGTTCTTCACCCAACGCCTCATCTACCGGAAGCTTGCGAAGCACTTTCAGGTGGCACCGGAGGAGTTCCGTCCAGAAGCTTATGGTCTCCCCCCCCCTAGCCAGATGTCAGGATCCCGCTACCCGAGGGGGAAGAGAGGCCAGTTCTTGAAGACTCGGAGACCCTCCGGGAGTGCGGCCTTGGGGGTGAAGAAGATGAAGCCGAGAGCGAGGCGATGTCCACAGTACCCCCTTCTTGAATTGTAATCCCCCCTTTTGTGTTGTAATTGTTGGCCTCGGCCTCCTTTGTAACAATGCATTTAAACTCCCTTTTTTGAATGAATGAGTACATATATGCCCTCGGGCCTTTGACATATAACATGCTTCCTTTTGATTTGTTCATCGTCGAATATATGCCTTCGTCTTGCTATGGATGTATGCCTTTGTTCCTTTGAATGTATGTTTTAGGACTTAGAATTTTTTCTGATTGTAGCTTGCCCCTGGAAGCCTTCGGTAGTTGGGCACCCTCTGCTGGATATGCAACCGAGGGTTCAGCAGCAATTAGGACTTAGAAAATTTTCCCAAGTGTAGCACAGCATGAGGCCTTCGGGCGTTTGTAGTAACCCAAATCCTAGGACTTAGAAAAATTTCTAAGTGTAGATTTCCCCCTGAGAGCCTTCGGGATATTGCATCCCTTCCTGATGTGTGATTGTTGGACCGAGGGCCCAATGTACAGGACTTAGAAATTTTTTGCAAGTGTAGTATGTCACGTAGCCTTCGGCTACTGTGGAGCCCCAACCGGAATATTGAATAGGCCGGGGGCCAATTCTTTAGGACTTAGAAAATTTTCTTGAGTGTCGATTCCTTGTGCACTGTAGCCCTCGATTGATAGGTAACCTTCGGCTATTGGGCCCCTTTATAAGTTGAGGGTGAAATATGTAGGACTTAGAAAGATTTATAAGTGTAGATTTTCCCTTGGGAGCCTTCGGGAGATGGCATCCCTCCATGATGTATGAGTAGCTGACCGGGGGGGGGGGGGGGGAATATGCAGGACTTAGAAAATATTCTAAGTGTAGATTTTCCCTTGGGAGCCTTCGGGAGATGGCATCCCTCCATGATGTATGAGTAGCTGACCGGGGGGAAAATATGCAGGACTTAGAAAATATTCTAAGTGTAGATTTTCCCTTGGGAGCCTTCGGGAGATGGCATCCCTTCTTGATGTATGAGTAGTTGACCGGGGGAAAAACATGTAGGACTTAGAAAATATTCTAAGTGTAGATTTTCCCTTGGGAGCCTTCGGGAGATGGCGTCCCTTCTGATTCCACATCACTTTGCGAGATGCTCGGGGGCTGCTCATTTAGGACAGAATATTTTTTAAGCGTTGTTGTATTGCCTGGCCTTCGGCTACCATATTCCCTTGGCAGTAATATTGATTGGGCCGGGGGCCCAATCTTTAGGACTTAGAATTTTTTCAAGTGCTGCTTCCTTCTGTAGCCTTCGGGTGATAGGTGCCCTCTGACTCTACATTACTTTGCGTAAATTGATGTTGAATCCTATTGTTGTGAAGAAAGCCAATGAGGAGTGTGTGCCCTCGGCATACACTCTGAACAGTTGTAGAGTTTGACTCAGCCAGTTGTGTCCCTTGTAATGGGGTAGGGGCCCTCGGTATTAATGTATAACAGCTGCCTTCGGTACATATTTGAAGGTACCGTCTTAGTGTACGTTGGATAGTCCAGTCCCTCTGTATTGTTGAAGCCTTCGGTGTTTGTGTGACCGGAGGTGGCCAGGCAGTGGACTTAGCCGTTCCTTGCTGCTATTTGTTCGAGTAGTATCCTTCGGGAAATAGGAGCCTTCAGTTACCGGAGGTGTTCCCGTGGGGAGCCCTCGGCTTGTTGTGATATGTTGGAGTGTACTCTTTGATTTCTCGCTGAGTCTACTCCCCTTCACCCCCCCCCCCTTTTTTTTTTGGTTGGTGGTGAAGGGAAGGCATCAAGAAACTTGGTTTCTTGGTAAGGCTGGGCCTATTAGGAGACCATCAGAATACACCAATGGCTCTCCTCCCTCGGGTTAACCTTCCGAGTCCCGAGGGGATCGAGGGACGTTTCCTAGGCACAAGATATGGTGGTCCGTAACCTGCCTCCCCTTTGGGGATGGCGCGGAAAGCGCCTCATTTTTGAAAGTCGTCCCCTCGGCGCTAGACATAGTCCGTGGCCTGCCACACCCTTGGGGTGGTGGCGCGGGGAGCGTTTCGGTTTGGAAGTCGAATCCTGGGCATTTCTCATGCCTGTCATACCCTGGGGGAAATGAAACACATGGCGTTCCTTGTTGTTGGTGATAGGAGTTCCCTCCCTCGGCACTTGGTACCGAGGGGTCTTGACTGAAAACACGTGGTGTTTTCACTGTTTGTAGGTGTTGATGGTGTCCGCCCTCGGCACTTGGTGCCGGAGGGGTTTTTTCTCGTGGTGAGGCCGGGGGCCTGTAGTCAGTATGAGGGCTTGATGTCTTGAATGTATCTTCATTCTTCGAAATTGGAGGCCTTGGGCCATAGGATAGTACATTCACTAGTTATGAGGGCTTGGCCGCTCTTACATTATTGGTAAAATTTAACTAAGTGGTGTACATTCCAGTGCCTAGGGACTTCTTTCCCGTTGGGGCGTTTGAGCTTGTAGGTCCCAGGTTTGATGATGGCTGCTATGATGTAAGGGCCTTCGAATTTTGGTGCCATTTTTCCTCCCTCGGTTGGTTGGCTGGCTTCCCTCCTCCGGAGGACATAGTCCCCCACTTGAAATTCTCGGGTGCGAACTTTGGCGTCGATGTAGCTTTTAACTTGCCTTCGGTAGTTTTCTGCCCGGATGAAGGCCTGCTCCCGGCGTTCTGAAAAGAGGTGGAGGTCGAGGGCCATGTTGCTGTCGTTGACCTCGGGGTCATATTGGATCACCCTTCGGGTGGGAAGGGTGACTTCCGTAGGAGCTTTGGCTTCAAAATCGTAGCAGAGGGAGAAGGGTGTTTCACCTGTTGCTCGCCGAGGGGTGGTGCGGTAGGCCCAAAGGATGTTGTGGAGTTCTTCCACCCAGCATCCGCCCTCGGCCTCTAGCTTCTTTTTGAGGCCCTCGAGCAAGGTCCGGTTGGCGTTCTCTACCTGCCCGTTGCCTTGAGGGTAGGCAACGGAGGAGAAGGTGTGTCTGATGCCCCATGCCTCCAGAAGGGAATAGAAGGGGGGCTGCCTCAAATTGTGTCCCATTGTCGGAGATGATCTGCTGGGGGACGCCAAACCTTGTGAGGATGTTCTTGAGGACGAAGTGACGGCACTTCGCCTCTGTGATGCTGGCGAGGGGTTCAGCCTCCACCCACTTGGTAAAATAGTCGACGGTCACAATGATGTATCTGTTGTTGGAGGTACCCCTCGGCAGAGGGCCCACAAGGTCTATCCCCCATCGAGAAAAGGGGACAGAGGTGCTGATGGGGGCATAGTTGACCGCTGGCCTGCCGGGAGCTTTCTGGAAATGTTGACATGCGGTGCACCTCCGGGCAAGGTCAGCACAATCCCTAGCCATGGTTGGCCAGAAGTAGCCCTGGAGAATGAGCCTTCGGGACATGGAGAAGGGTCCCTGGTGAGCTGAGCAAGTGCCACTGTGCACTTCCTCCATTGCGACCTCGGCTTCATTTGGATGAAGGCACCGAAGTAGCGTGCCATTGTAAGATCGTTTGTAGAGCCTTCCATCTTCGATGGTGTAGCTAGGAGCCCTCAGCTTTGCCAGTTTAGCGCGGGCCTCATTCTCGGGTAGCTGCGCTGTGGAGATGAAGGCGGTGATATCTGAGATCCAATCCTCCTGACGTTGTTGTATGTTCATAACGGGGCTTGCATGGATGCTTGAGAGGCTGAGTTCCTCGATTTTGGCAATTTTGGAGATGTGCTCGGGGGAGTCGGCCGAGGGTTTAGATAATATGTCGGCCTCGGAGTTCTGAGTGAGAGAGTATTTGAGTGAGAGAGTGTGCCTCAAATACCTTAAGCAACTCCTTGGCTGCTTCCTTGTACTGTTTCATTCTCCCCTCCTTGGCCTCATATTCTTCGGAGATTTGGCCAACGACCAACTTGGAGTCGCATTTGATGTGGATCTGCCGAGCTCTCATGTTGGCAGCCAGCCGAAGGCCACATAGGAGGGCCTCATATTCGGCCTCATTGTTGGAGACCTTGAAGGAGAAGCGGATTGCATAGTAGGCCCTGAAGCCCTCGGGAGTAATGAGGACTACCCCTCCTCCGCATGCTTTGGTCGCGGAGGAGCCGTCAGTGTAAAGGGTCCACCCGTCGTCCGAGGTAGCCGAGGTCTCCCCGTCCGTGGCTGCCCTTGCGGTACACTCCGTCACAAAGTCCGCCAGGGCTTGGCCCTTGATGGCAGGCCTTGGGCGGATGTCAATGTTGTACTGGCTCAAGAAGATAGCCCATTTCACCATGCGGGAGGAGCTGGTGGGGCTCCTCATGAGGGCGCCGAGGGGTTGATGAGTGAGGACCTGAACCGGGTGAGCCTGAAAGTAGTGGCCCAACTTCTTGACAGTCCAAACGATGGCCAACACCGTTTTTTTCCACAGGGGAGTACCTGAGCTCGGCCTCCCTTAGGGTCTTGCTAACGTAGAAGATGGCATGTTGGGTGCCGTCTTCCTCCCGGATGAGCACAGAGCTGATGGCCGCCGGGCTGACCCCAAGGTAGAGATAGAGGGTTTCCCCTACCTTTGGTTTGGATAGCACAGGGGGTGAAGATAGATACCGTTTGAGCTCGTCGAAAGCCCCCTGGCATTCTGGAGTCCATAGAAAGCCAGCCGTCTTCCTCATGATCTGGAAGAAGGGTAGAGACTTCTCCGCTGATTTAGATAGAAAGCGGTTGAGGGCTGCCAGGCGGCCCGTCAACCGTTGAACTTCCTTCACATTGCGTGGGGGCTCCATGTTGATGATGGCCTGGATTTTCTCGGGATTGGCCTCAATACCCCTTCGGCTCACCATGTAGCCCAAGAACTTGCCCCCTTGGACGCCGAAGGTGCACTTCTTCGGGTTTAGCCGAAGGTTGAATTTTTGCATGATGGCAAAGATTTCCCGGAGGTCGTCAGCATGGCTGGAAGATTGTTTGCTTTTGACGATCATGTCGTCAACATAGGCCTCCATGGTGCGCCCTAGGACGGCTTGAAAGACCCGGGCCACCATCCGGGTGTAGGTGGCCCCCGAGTTCTTTAGGCTGAAAGCCATCACTAGGTAGCAGAAGATGCCCTCGGGAGTCATGAAGGCAGTTTTTTCGGCGTCTTCCTCGTGCATAAAAATTTGGTGATACCTTCGGAAGGCATCGAGGAAGGACATGATCTCACACCCTGCGGTCTCATCCA